CAATTGCCGTGCCTCTTCTTGACATGCAGGGGTGAGGGGAGTAAAAGTATCACCCCATTCTTGACGATTCAAGCTGTCTTTCTTGCACTGGTTATGAGACAGTTTTCTGTATGTTTGTATTTATTTATTAATTAGTAGTAAATATTGCAAGTTCTATTGTTCGGGAATTTTCAGGGAAAAACTTATGAAACATGAAGTACAGATCCAAGTCATTGGAAATTTGAATCTGGTGCCACAAGAGTTAAGAAATGCAATGATCAAAGTAATGTCCATGACCAATGACAACAAAAAACATATCTTGAATTTTGCTTTTGCTTACACTGGTATGCAGCCCTCATGACATGGTAAAGTGTGATTAAACCTATTTTGAAGAAATTCTCACCCTTTTTGTCTTTGTAAAATTGTTCTCTAGGTAGAGATGATATTTTACAAGGTGTTAAAAAAAACAGTGAATGGGGTGGCTGGTGGAATGTTATCGCCATCAGATGTGACTCAAGATCTGCTTTCAAAAACATTGTACACTCGTCATTCTTCAAATCCTGGACTACTTATTCGAACCTCTGGAGAGGTTCGTCTCAGTGATTTTTTACTTTGGCAGGTAATTGCTTTGTACATCATGTTTAAATGGAGCAATAAGATTTTTATTCAGATTAGTTTAATATTTATTCTGACTTTTTTCAGATGTCTTGCTGTTGTATTTTCAGCACAAATGTGCTGTGGCCAGACTTCTCTCCATGGAACTTTTTGCAGGCTTTGCTTCACTACCAGCATTTCCAACGAAATTTAAAAAGGGTACAAATTCTTGAAAATAGATGTGCTGAGTCGTATCTTAACTTTAATACAGAAAGTTTTGTTGAGAACCTAAAAAAGGAAGCATAATTTATCTTTGTCAAAATGTTAACAAGTGCGCTTTAATTTTTTTAATGATCTAGGGAGAGGGGCTGTGGGAAGAAAGGTGGCAGAGTTATAACAGAGTTCTAATAACAAACTTAATTGTAGCACAACTGGTTAGTGGTT